TCCATTAAAGGCCCCATAAACGCTAACTGTTCGATTCACCTTTAATCCGACAGTTGAGATTATGTTGTCCTTTGAAGTAGCCTTCACATCTGAGCCATTAAATTTAGCCACGATCTAACGGCTCCCAAGACATGTCGTGTCGCCTTCTTGCTCATACGATCTCAGCAGTGATTTTCGTAAAGATCCAATGACTTCATTTACGCCGCCCTTTCAACTTGCCAGCTTCATCCTTACCTTTGGTTTTGATTGCGATCCGCTAGCCAGGGTCGATCGGCCGGGGCCATTCTTTGTCTATAAATATCATCAAGACTGAAACTTTATGGTTTTTTCACCTTTGCAAAATCTCCCTTAACAATATTTTCACTCTTTGTCTCATTCTACAATCAAGCTCTCTGAATTCGCTGCCTCACCGTGAACCACTGCAACCGAATTCTTCAAGTTCTTCAACCACCCACTTAGATCTTCGATGATGAGTAAGTATTCTTGTGTGTTTTGATTTTGCATGTGTTTAATTTTCCCTTCTGGTTCTTCCCCATATTCGCCGACCGAGGCTCCTTCTCCTTCGAAGTACCTAAAATTTTTCCCTTTTTTGCTTTTTCTAATTTTAAATTTTGCTATTTCTAGTGAGACCGACCATTTCTCCGGCAAAGACATGAATCCTCTGTCGTCTCCTTCGCCTTCTCGACCTGAATTTTCTCATTCTTCGACCCCCTCCATTGAATAAATTCTCCAGCCTATTTTGTTTTCTGCCATTCTATTTCAGTTTCCACTGACCTCGCCCCACCAGGCCTCTTCTCGTACCCGACGCCCTCATCAACCTCTCAAGTTTGTTGATGAACCTGACCAGGAGGACAAGGACGATACAGTTCTTCAACCTGCTCATTTATATTTTGATCCTCCCCTTTCGACCTCCACACCAATTTCTCAACAGGGTCCATCTTCCATCCGCCAACTTTCTCTACCTGATTCTCCTCAAGTTGGTCCATATTGTACTCTCTTCGTTGGCACTAGATAGATTCTTGAATATCTTGACATCACTGATCGACCTTTCAACTGGGCGTTTATCTACCCCAGAGCTACTAACACATACGACCATTCCCCCGAGAGGTGTTACACCTTTTTGTAAAGCCAAATCATACGAGGCCTCTATTTTTATCTCATCCCCGCTCTTTTTGATATTTTTGGTACTTTTGGTCTACCACTCAACCAGCTTCTTTCCAATTCGATATGTCACCTGACCACAATCATTATTCTTTCTTTTGTTCGTTTAGGTCAAATTGACCTTGATATTTTCTTTTATTCTTTTATAGCCAAAGGCTTGAAGGAGGGACTCTACTTCCAAATTCAAAATAAAGCCCATTTTTTGTTTGACATCCTTTCGAACGTCCCTAAATGGAAGTGGAAGTTTGTCTTCGTTCGACCTGATACCCCCAAAATCCACCTCACAATCTTCTGTTTGATCGGCGCATAACCTCTTGGAATGCACACAATGTCCGAAACCTTTCTCTTCAGCAAGAAAATATTATCCAATTATGGTCTACTCACAATGCAACCTCAACCCCCCTCCAACCAAGAAAAAACACCAACTGCTCAAAATTCCCGATGAGGACGATTCTGGTAAGCTGGAACAGGGAATCACGTAGTGTACTACTTTTATAATCACTGACTTTTCACTCTTAATCTCCGTAGAGCTCTTTATGGCTAAACATGTCTCCTCATCTAGAAAAAGAGCTACCCTGACTGACTCTGGGGCTGCTCCGGCCTCTAGAACGGCCCCGAAAAAGGGCAAGTCCACGTGGGTTGAAAAGACTCCCTCCCCGCCCAACAAAACGACCTCACTGTCTACTCAATCGGTCAGCCAACAGACCGATAAGTAAGCTGACAAGCCTAGCAAGAAGGGTGTCGACCACCACCACAGCAAAAAGCTCTCAAACCTCGACCTAGCCGACCCGAGCAACAAGAGACCTCACACTAAGAAAAAGGATAATGAGGTCTTCCCTCCCTGTTTCTTGTTGTTCACAAGTTTAGGCAAGGAGATGACCTTCTTCTTACTACAAACGTTGCCAGCTGGGGACACCAATCGTTGGTGTGACCGAAAGGCCCCAATGTGAATACACCGCCTGAGCTCTAACGCAGGTAAACTTCATCCAGAAACCTTCATCTTCATCCTGAAAAAGTTATGTTGCTCTGGTTGATTTCTTTTTCTTTCTGGCAGACCCTTGTCGTTGTATTCCTCTACTCGACGAGTCTCTGGACAACTTTGATTGACCTATTTCTAAGGTCGAAAGGAAAAACTGGGCCTTGTTCGAGGAGAACCGACATTTGATCCAGCTGAAGCACGATCTGATGCAGCAACTCAAAAAGGATGGCCTTTGCCACCTAGAAGAGCTCAAAGACAAAAATGTTGAGATCAAGCGGGAGGTTGCTCGATTTAAGAAGATGTGAAAAGAGCGGGCATTTCCACCGCATGGTGGGCTCGATAGTTGTTCTTCTCAACGAGCATCAATCAGAAGTTCTTGAAATGAGGGTCGTGAGCAGGTGATCAATGGTTATCTCAAGTCTATGACCTTTCTTGAGAAAAGCTCGACTATTGCCATGGATTACTATCGAGTCCGCCTAGACGAGGCCGAGAAACGTGTCGTCGCACCAAACTTTAGTGGTGCGTTCGACCGTGAAGACATTTTGGAGGCTCTTTCCAAAATGTCGGTGCTGGTTTCGAGGGTGATGTTACCCTTCCTCCAGTCCACCCCCAGTGGTCGGATACTCTGATGTGGACTCTTTCTCGATCTAAGTCACTAAAGACGAATTTTGACCTTTTTCAGCTGGTGTTGTTCATATCATTTGCCTATATGTATCCCAAGGTGCCCCATTGGTGCGGGGATTGATGTTGTCACTTTGAGCCAGACAGTCGAGCCGCAAGCCTCTGTGACTATGTCCGAGCCAACCCCGACTCCGCCGACCGAGCCGACTACCGATGCCATTGTCAGTATCTTAACAGACTTCTAATCAGCTCAAGTATGACATGACCACTCATCTTGATATAATCAACACAACATGGTCACCTTGAACTCCACAAGTTCATCGACCCAAAGAAGACATTGCAAAGAAGCAAAAATCTTAGCCGATATAACAATTGATTGTGATCGAACCACAAAGTTTTTTTGATGTGGGCTTTTGCATCATGGTAACAATACTAGCCACCAAAGATGGAGAGCGCTGTCATCATAAATGCCATTGACCGCGGTCCCATTATCTGATAAGGATCATCAACATCACATTAGTAGAAGCTGCAACAACTAACTTCACGTAGAGAAACGACATAAGCTTCTCGATCCGGTGGTTGTGGGTTGTTTAGTTGTCCCATTGGTTGCTCGTCTTTTGGAGGGTTTTCGTCCAAGAGAGGATGTTGGTCTGGGTTGTCTGGATCCAGTCAGCCATAGGTGTATTGTTGTTTCTAAATCTGCGATTACCCCGAAGTTTTGTATGTGGGTGGTAAATCTAGGGGTTTCTATTGCGGAGGGGCTTGCTAAATGTAGAGATGGTGTTATATAGTTTAAATAGTGTTTGAATGTTCTAGTTTTGTGTTTTTACGTGTTTTGTTTTGTTTTATTCTCCATTATTCTCCATTAGTTTTGTGTTTTTCTGTTTTCCTCCTCGCGAAAACCCTCCCCAAAAATCCCGTCGGATCCAGATCTTCCTACTCAATTCTTCAGGTCGCCTTCCTCGATGGTGAAGTAGCTTCAGCTAGGGGTCGTCCTCGACCGCCTTCCCCACCCCTTGACGCGTCGCGACTTTGGAGCCTGCGGGCGACGACGACTAGGGTTCCAGCTTCAGATCGCAGTCGAAGCTTCAATCGGAGAAGGTGCCCATCCCGGTCGGCGTTTGACCAACTTCTAGTGGTAAGCCCTCTC